ATGAAGTACTGCAGAAGGCAATACATTAAAATGGGCTAGCATATAAACTCTGCAACTAAGCAGTTTGAAGAGGAAAGAGAAATCCCAACCTAGGGGGACAACATCTACAGACGCCCAACTACTCAGTACCTGTAACTCAATATCCAAGAGTCTTTTTTGATTAAGACAGAAGCAGCTGCTCTTCAAAACTGATCCCAATTGCAGCAATCTTCTTTTCTATTTATGATAACCATGAGGAAGACCGGAACTCAGCCAAAACTTGGGAAATGAGACCGTTAGGATTAGCATTGGTTTTAAAGTGTAGCTTTAAACAAAATTTGAAACAAAATTTGAACAAAATCCACGCTTTGGTCTCAAGGAGTCTTTGATTGGTTTCCAAACAAGTAGCTGCATAGGAAATACAATGCTGGGAGAAAGTTAGATTGATTTTTTTCTATTTCCTTATTAATAGCACAAATCCAAACTGGGATCCCATAAAGTAATTTAGCACAGGTTTTATGATTAAAGTATCTTAGGGCTGCAGGAACATATTGATTACTCTTACAGTAATAAAAATGGGTAATCACAAGTGTAATGTACTGCCGCCATTACCACATGCAAGGCATTCAGCCTGACATGCCCGAACTTGCCCGGGCAGGCCAGGCACAATTTATCTGTAGCATCAGCCGAAAGACAAAGGATCCGAAGGATCCTAGCCGGCCCAATCAAAAGGGCTAGCTTCCCAGCCGGGAGACCAATGGTCGCCCGGTTACTGTAAATAGCATATCGGGAGTAGGGGGTGTGTTTAGGTGTACTGGTGGCGGGTCTTCTGAACGCATATAAACCGGCCTGCGAGCTGGTTTCCTTTGTCTTGTTCTGATCTAATAAAGTACTCTTTACTGAATCACTCAACGTCTCGAGTACTTTTCAACAAGTATGTCATTATTCACAGATTTCATCACTTCCCTTTTATGCACAGCCCAAACAGAGTTACAGTGGAAGAGCCAATCCCCTCTTATCTTCCATTTAGCCAGTTTCCACACTTTCCCAGAAACAAGAATTTTTGACTTCTGAAAATTTAGGGTCACTTTGTTTAACTCACAGTAGTTCATAAAAGAGTAAAGCAGCCTTTCCAATCCCATACGCAAGAGGGAAAGTAGAACTGCATCATCTGCAGAAGGGGGACAGGAAACACCAAGTTTGGGACTATGACCATCAATAGCAGTCAAAAAAAGAGCCAAATCATTAATGAAAAGACTAAACACCCTGTTCCCCCCAAAATAAGCCCTAGCAGGATTTCTATGCATTTGTGGTATAAGCCCTAGTGTGTCTTCTTGAGAAAAAATAAATATAAGACAGTGTCTTATTTTTGGGGAAACACGGTAGTAGAGGGGCTAAAATACGGCCTTGCTTCACACCTAAACGTATTGGGATCTTCTGGGTTAGATCACCCTCCTTAGAACACCTAACTTGACAAATTGTGTTAGAATGAAGTTTTTTAATTAGGAAAAGGAGTCTGTCATCAATCCCTTGGTCCCTAAGTCTCATACTTGTGATTCAGAAAAGCTGCAAACAACTTGAGGCCTTTCTTTTTCCTATATCTATCCACTAGGTGATTTAGCGCTAAATAATGATCAAGGGTCAATTTCCCATTACAAAACCAACTTGCTCTATGCCTAAAATGTGCTGTTCTGACATCCATGATTTGAGTTTGTAGCCAGGTATCTCGCATAGAATTTCCCTAAAGTAGAAAGCAAACTAATAGATCCATAATTACTAGGAAGATGGCAGTCTTTTTTTAAAAATATAGGGACCACAATCACATTTCTCCAGGCTTCAGGTACTACACCCATCTTATCAATGGTCATGAACAGAGCAGCCAGAAAAGGGTCCCACCACTCAGGGAATGCCTAGACACGATTTCTTAGTTAATTGGTTAAGGTCTGTGTCAAAACCTGAGATGGGGAGTTGACTCCATGATAGAAAGCATATATAATACTCCTTTAAAACCACCAAGCTAAAACATTTCTACTGCTAAATGTTTCATGCTATTTTGTGCTCTAGGTTTTTTTTTTTTTTACTTAGCTGTGGCATTTTAGGGTTTGTTAATTGCAGTGGTTTTCTCATGTTTCCTCTGTGAGCTGCCTCAAGCAGCTCCCATGAGAGGCGGGGCATATATTTTCTAAATTATCAAATGAAAGATTTTCCTCACCCAAGAAAGCAGGTCTTTGTTTCAGTGGGCTGCCCATTAGATACCTTTTCTATGGTGTAACCTTCTCACCTTAGCTTTTTTATTTCAAAATTAACCAAGAATAGCACGTATGTATACATGAAGGTGTGGCAAGCCATAAAATGCAGCTAGAGGAACCGAGGTATGATTAGTCCATGACCAAAGTAAAAGTGGAACTTGTGATCTCATACCGCTGTATAACACCAGCTCTCATTTATACCTGCTTTATTTTTAACTAGCAGTAAAGCCCGTTGTGAAAACAATACAACGAGATCTAGAAAGAGGCTCTGGGGGAGTGCTCTGGCTTTGTGCAAACACTGTCAATTTGCTGTGGTGACCTAATCAGGGTATAGTGACATAGTCCACTGTTTTCTCCGGAGGAGGTAGATGTCATAGTTTTCTTGTTTGTCAAATGTTTCTTGACTCCAATAAAAAAATTTTCAACATTAAATCGGCTCATGCAGACACCTCCCACCTCCGATCGCCGCCTGGAGTGGGTTGGGGGGCGAGGAAAGCCTGGAGTGGGTTGGGGGGGAAGGCTGGAGTGGGTTGGGGGGGAAGCCGACAGTGGGTTGGTGGGGAAGCCTGGAGTGGGTTGGGGGGGGTAGCCTGGAGAGAACAAGACTGTACAACACCCCCCACCTCCGATCGCCGCCTGGATGGGGGTGGGGGGCGAGGAAAGCCTGGAGTGGGTTGGGGGGGAAGGCTGGAGTGGGTTGGGGGGGAAGCCGACAGTGGGTTGGTGGGGAAGCCTGGAGTGG